CGGCTATAGCCTCCTCTTCCTTGTTGTGCCAGGAGGCCATGGACCTCTTAGGGTGCTTCTTATCGACCAATAAAACACGAAAAAAAAAACGAAACCGTTTTTTCTTGAACACATATGGAGACGTTTTTGAACGAAAGCGTGAAAAGAAGGAGCCCGGTTTTTTTGGGGCTTGCTACTTAAACGAATTCGTGTTTTTGACAGAAGCATCGGACAAGCGCACCGCAGGCGCTGTAACATCACTGAGAACGCTAGAAAGACCTGCCAGACTCACGTCCAGGTCTGTTGTGGAGATGGACAAGCGGCAGAAGCGGCGTTCAGTCCGTTCTTGGTCCAAAAACTAGACATTGCGTGGTGCTCTCGTCTTCAACTGCTGCTGTTTGGTGCTGGGGAATTTTTTTCGATCACACATAGCAAACACGGAAACAGTAGAACGAGTACAGCAGCACCACCAAGACCTCCAAAGCGCTGATTCCTTCGGTTCGGCTGTCTATATGATACCATCTCCCGGCGCCGTGCTGCTTCGTGGGTATTGAGTGCTTGGGTGCTGCTCAATAAGGTGTGTGAGAGACGTGTGCCACCTCACCAAAATGCCGTTGGAAAAATTGCGGCGAGATGATCTGTTTTTGGTCGGACACATCAACATCAATCCACGGCGTCACGCAGCAGTAGAGCAACAGGGCCTCCAACACGCTAATTCTTTCGGATTGGCCATCTATATGATGCTGGCCGTCAGCGCGGCTGCCGCCCTATGATTGTTGAGCTCGTCTACCTTTGGGTAGGTGGTGGTCAAAGATGGGAGTCGCAACCGTGAAAAATGAGCTGGCAAACTGAAGAAATCGCAAGCAACACCCAGGTTGCGACACTCTGCCGTGCGCCTGTTGTTGCTAAAACTGAAAACAGCAGGCCGGGTGGACGGGATCTTTCTAAGTGTGTTGTCCTCTGTGCCGGGTGCTGCTTATTGCGCTTTTATCGCTGCTCTATGGTGAGCAATACCATGTCAACCTGTTGTGTGCCGAGCAAAGCGTGTATTCAGGGAAGGAAACGTGCTTTTTTTGATGACATCACGAAAAGAACAAGCAAAAAAAAGTCGGGTTTTCTTTCAACCGTTCCGTTTAAAAAAGAACGATTTCGACGTTGCGTTAACAATAACCCTTAGCCCCCTGCAGTACCCCTGCATTCCACTGAACACCCCGGTCCACCTTCGCTGCTGCTATCCAAGTTGTTTCCGGGACTCCGAAGCATAGCTCGGCGTCCGTAGATCCGTATTCTGCTTCGAACATCTTGAGGTCGTCCTTCAGGCACATCTGCCAGTTTTGCTCCGGTTTCCCCCTGCCTGTGGGCCCTCCCCCCCGATCAGTTCGCCAAGCATCACCCGTTTCGGGAGTCGTCCGTCTGGCTGCTTTACCAGCACTCCCGCCAACAGCAGGCGCCGTTTCCGGATAGTGTTTTCCACGCTCTGGCACCCTACCCTCTTCAGGGTCTGGGCGTAGGAAAGCTGCCGGTAGGTGCCCTTCTTGCGTTGGTAACCGATAACTCGCAGAAGCAGTCGGTGGTGTATCGTCCGCAACGTCCGGTATTGGTCTTGACGTCGGGCCCATGTCGTGCAGCCGTACAGCAATGCCTCCATCACCTCGGCCTGGAGCAGGCGAGTCTTTAGTCGGAACGGTGCTTTCGGCCTGTCGAAGAGCTCCCGGCCATATCTCCTGACGCACGCCCACGCTGTTCTGCTCCGGTAGTTGATCTCCCGGGTGAGGTCGCCATGTTCGTTGACGAGGCCACCTAGGTACCGGAATCCAGGCGTCTGGGCATACCTCTGCCCTGCTGCCTCGATGATCAGCGGTGGCGGCGGGGGGGGCGGTGGTGTTGCTATGTGCTTCTCCTTAGCGCGCATCAGGAGCGTCTCCGTCTTCTTCTCCGATACCGTCAGCCCGAACTTCCCGAACACCTCCACGATGACGGTCATCATTCTCGCCAGTCCTTCGGCAGACCTCGATACGACGCCGGCGTCATCGGCATACAGCATCCCCCATACCGCCCTCCGCACTCGGTCAAGTGATGTCCTCGCCCCCGTTCCCGTCTCCTCCTCCAGATACACGAGGTTCCTCAGAATAACATCATCCTCGCTGAATCGAATGGCAACGACCTCGATGACCGCGGCGAAGAAGATATTGAACAGCAGTGGGGACAGCACACACCCTTGTCGTAGGCCTTGTGTGACCGAGAACCAGGCCGATAACTCTCCGTCGTCCATGCGCACCCGGGCGCGCATTCCGTCATGGAATTGGCGGATGACGGCGATCATCTCCTCAGGAATCCCGGCCTGGCCAGGACCTTCTACAGCATCTCTCGGTCCACCGAATCATACGCCTTCTTTAGGTCGACGAAGCACATGTAGAGTGGTATTTTCCTTCTCCGCACCAACTCCTGGAGTCGGCGCACGACGAACAGCATGTCGATGGTGGATCGCCCAGGTCGGAACCCGCATTGTTCCTCCGGGAGGATGTTGTTGGTTTCGCAGAAGACGCTTAGGCGGTTGGTGATGATCTTGATGGGGACCTTGCCTACATGAGATAGTAGTGCGATCCTCCTGAAGTTGTTGCAGTTGGACCGGACCGGTCACCGTTCTTGTGCAACACCTTGATGGTTGCGTCCTTCCACTCTTGGGGGATCTCTCCTCCGTTCCACACCTCAACGAGGATGTCACGGAGGTGCTCCAGGACGATGGGTTTCTCGTCGTCGACGTCGATCTTGAGCAATTCTGCAGGGAGGGAGTCGTTGCCGGGTGTCTTCCTGTTCTGCAGTCCTTTCGTTGCCCGTTCCACTTCCTCGAGGTCTGACACCGCTCCCAAGTGTCGAGTGGCACGTGTCGCCGGTCGCTGCGTGACTTGTTCGATTATGTCTGGGTTCAGGGTGGGGGACTTGGTGTTGAGAAGGGTGCCGAAGAATCTCGCCCATCGCTGGAGGATGTCATTCTTTGTCCGGAGCAGCACACCATTCTCGTCCGCAACGGGCTGCTGTCCTCCCGCTTGTCTCCCATTGAGCCCCACTGATCTCTTGAGGTGGTGGTAGCGGCGTCGCATGTCGCGGTCCTTGTAGATCGCTTCGAGTCCCGTCATATATCTGTCCAGGTGGGCATATACCCTTTTTATGCCCGTTTCGACTGCTGCGGCCACTCCCTTTCAAGCTGCTTTGAGGGCCCTCCACGATGTTGTGTTCAACTTGTCCTTCATCGCTCGGCGCGCTTCCCACCGTGTGGTGAGGGCCTCCTCCAATACTGCTTTTGTCTCAGGGGTCTCACACCATTCCTTCGTGCGTCTTCTCCGCGGAATCTCGGATGGTATCGCCCTCGCCGCTTCGAGGAGAGCATTGGTGAACTCGGTCACTTTCTCCGGGGCGGTGGTCGCTCGTTCGCCCTGCTGTTGGTCGAGATTGAGGAGGAACCGCGTAGTCATGTCCCATCGCGTTGCTTCGACCTGCAGTTCCCGGCGGTCGAACTGCTTCTGTTTCGGTTTGGTCCGGACTGCTCGGTTGTGGGCAAGCCTGCCACCGAGGTTGACGGTGGCTATCACCATGTTGTGGTCTGAGTCCGCCTTGACTGGGTATACCGGCTGGGGGATGACAACCTTGTTAGACACTCGGCCGCGGTGTGCCTGCCGCGTTCTAATGTTGTCGAGGCGCCAGCGGTTGGTCCCTGTGCCATATTCGACCGTTGCGTGTCTCGAAGAACGTGTTCGCGAGTGCTAGCTTGTTTTCCGCTGCGAAGGTCAGCAGTAGTCTGCCATTCTCGTTTAGCTCATCACGCCCGTGTATCCCCAGGACGCCCTCGTCCTCCCCATCCATCCTCTCTCCCGTCCGAGCATTTGCGTCCATCAGGATATACACGCACTCTTTGGAGGGAATCCTCCGCACGAGACTGTCAAGTTTTCCCCAGAACGCTGTCTTGCTGTCAGCGGCAGCGACCTCGGTTGGGGCGTAAGCAGCAACGAAGTTGACAGCTCCGCGGTGGCCCGTCATCTCAAATCTCATGGCCATGAGGCCTTCATCGACATAGTTCGTGGTGAAAGTGGAGGTCTTGCATATTGACTCTTTAACGGCTATTCCCACACCATGGATATTACGCTTCTCCGTACCACAGCAGAACACTCGGAAACCCGCTGCTGCGAACTCCGTTTGAATGACCTGGCCTCCTGGTCTCCTGCAGCCAGTACCGACCGGAAATAACCGGAATTGAACCTTCGAGGATACCGACCGGATATAACCGCTCATGGCGGGGATGAAAACGTCCCATCCCCGGGGTTTTATTTAACGTATATAGTACGACGGCGATCGACGGCGACGGTCGACGAAGCGACGGCGGCGCGATTGAAGAAGGCGGCCCAAGGCCGACCGACCGACCGACCGACCGACCGACCGACCGACCGATCCAACCCTACCCAACCTAAAACCCAACCCAACCCAACCCAACGGCGACGAACGAGTGCGGGTCGGATTTCCCCCCGGAGCTATGGACAGCTCCTCCTCGGTGACACCCCCTCATGGGACCACAGGGCATGCCGTCAAGACGCATTTTGTGTGTTCAACCGCACTGAGACTGACGTCGTTCATTGGTCAGCCAGATTGCGCTGTCGATACTATAAAAACACACACACACGTTCTTCCTGCTTGGATCTCTCACCATAGAGCGTGCCCTCCGCACGAACGCTCATCATTCGACCAGCACCTACCTCTCTCGCTTGTGCCGCGCTTTCATCTTTGCGGCATGGCACTGTTGTGTGTACCCTTGATGATTCCTCAGAGCAAGAGTCCAGGATCACCTGTGAACACTGCGATTCTCAGGTCGATTTCTCTCACCCATCCGTGCAGTCTGGCGTTGGTTTTTCATCAGCCTAGACTACATAGTCCAATACAACACCGTATATATACTTACCCGAGAGTCTACTATACACCGGAGAGGGCGACGTTGTTGCCGTTGGGACGGTGCTGGCGGAAGCCTTCTGTTGCTACTCGGCGGGTGCGGCGTCCTTTGCTTTCCTCTTGGCCTCGCGTTGCCGAGGTGCCACGATGGCATCTTCGATGAAACTCTGGTACTCCGTGACGGTGTCGTGAATTCATGCGGGGTACGAGGGTCAGCGTACGCAAACCAAAGTACTACATGATACGACCGATGCCTCCGGAGTTGGCTCATGAAACAACAGGGTGAAAAAAAACGAAAATACAAGCAGGCAGCAGGACAAACCACCAGGTGCCAGCTGTGAACGGTACAGTAGATGTTTTTCAACATAATCCACGTGTGGATTAATCCCTAGCGAATGCCCCGCAGAAATCGCCCCCGCTCGAAGTTTCGCTCTGCGGTAGTACCCGCTGCGGCGAAATCCGTGGCGCGACAACAACGAACCTCGAGAGCGACAAATCACCTACCCAGTCCCTCCGCGAAAAAAAAGTCGCATGATTGTTTGTCAGCTCTTGGTGGAGGGGCTACAGTCTCTCCAAAGAAACTACACAGGCTCCTTGCCAAACAAAGGGTGACTTGGCTCGGTTTGAAAAGTGTCCCCAAGTGGTTTCGGGACACTTTTCGTACTGAAGCTGCAGGAGTCCGCATTTGTTTCCACATCAGGCGATGTACAGTTTTATGACTCAGGGGGCACGCGGGTTGGGAGATGTGCACAACAAGTCAGCAGCCTAGGAGAGGCATCACACAGCATATCACACAGCTCGCCACCTCAGCCAGGCGTCATAGACCAAGGATTCACACGCGCGTTCTACACAGCGGAGTCTAGGGTGACTACAGTGCGGTAAATAGGCGTTTGGTTGCTGTGTCCCGGTAGTGCCTATTTGGGCTTCCGGTACGGATGCGAAATGCACCGTATTATTGCTGGACGTCATGCTTGTATTCACTGCGCGACGAGTGAATTATCTGCTCGATGTTCCGCGAGTTGTTCGCATGTTCCAGAAGATGTTCTTAAAACATCTAAGGAAGACCCAGGATGTGCACATCCCGTATCGACCCGCCTCCATGAATATTCACACACAGCCAAGATATTATGGTGCGAAATAGAATAATGAAACCTCTTAGGCATGAAGCAGCGGTATCCAAAGTGATCTCCACCAACGACATGCTATACCCTAGCACAAGAGTATACTCGACATCCTGGGCTACGGATATACTGCTATCCCCGGGGTCTACGTTCGGTTGCACATTCGAACTGCTACGTATGTTCACACCAACCCTAGGGATATAGACACCGTCACGGTTTCATGCACAGAGGAGCCGAGCGCTGAAAATTGGTCCAGCGGGTGTGGTATCTTACGTCATGCGACCTACGATACATACCTGCAGGCTGGGTAGGGCGTCTCGATCAATAGCAAAGAACTCCTGCTGCTGGTTGGCGACGGGTTTTCCGTGGTCGTCGTCCACCTCAAGACCCACCACCATGTCCACGTACCACGTCATCGCGGAGCCCCCGCGGCCGCACACTACCCGGGACGGTAATATGGTACGCAATGTGTGGTTTGAACGGTTGGTGTGGTTGTACTGCAGCAAAAGGCGTTTCTCCGTGATCTCGGGGGTTACGCGTTGTCGTGGAGGTCGTGGAACCCCGGCCGCTGCAGACCACCTGGAACGGTAATACGGAAATATGGTAAGGAATGGCGTGGTTTAGTGTGCCGAGTTTTCTGGAAGTTACGCGGATTCGACGTGATGGGCTTGATGCTGATGGACTTGACGCGCGAGCTTCCGCTTCGCCTCACTCGTCGGTAAAACTCCCTACTCTAGGGACTTAAGCCACTTCTTCCGTGCAGAAATGCCTTCGAAACGGGCGCCCGCGGACAGTTTAGAACAATCACAGGTTACCTCGTGAATGTTGGTCCTACATGTGTTGTGTGGGTTTCATGAAGAGGAGACCATGTTTCAGCGGGGACAGGGACTATTTACTCCTGGTAGCACTTGAAAAAACTGGCCGAAATGTCGGGGTGTCGGAGGAGTGAGATCGCTCGTTCATTGCATGTGCATCGTGGTTCGAGGATTCTCGTTCCAGTACTGACACTGCCTTATCTCGCTTGATATTGTACGGCGAAGGAGTCCATCGAGGTGAAGCGGCGCGCTTGCCTGAAGCAATCGAAAGGCAGGATCTCTTCAAACCGCAAACGCCCACGGCCGGGGCAAGCTTGCCGTCACCAACTTGCGCGATTCAGTTAACCTCCGCTTGTCAATGGCAGCAAGCTTGGCGCACACTTTCCGCTGGGCTTCACTCGTATCAGAAATAGCGTGACCGGGATATTGCAATGTCCCGTGTGTGTGCATCTTTCCGTGATAGCTTGGACGCTCGCCCCCCGTGGTGCTCGCCCCCACTCGATCACTCCTCTATCTTTCCTCTTTCCTTACCTTTTGGCCAACTAAGCGCCACTTTCAACCATCAATCTGGTCTTTCAACAACTGTCTCTAAAAGTGCTTGGCACATCCAGGGATACACCTACGACAAGGTTACATCCCAACAACATATTCGCCCAACCCGTTGCTCACCTTCCGGCGGTCGACATGGTGCAGCCGGGAGCCAACGGGGCAGTAACCTTCGTCGTGACCTTCTGACCATCTGCCCCCTTCTTCCTCGACGTAGAGCCGTCCATAATCGCGGTGAGCTGGGCACGACCAGCAGTGCGGGTTCCTTGAAGATCGTCGTAGCACTCCTTCCAGCACCGCATGCTCTCGATCGACACCTTGCCGTAGGTCATCCTGCTGCCGCTGTCTTTCCTCAACGCGGACACACTGGAGGCAAACTTGCGCAGTGGGGGGTCGTCGTCGTCGTCGTCGTCGTCGTCGTCGCCGTCGCCCTCGCCGCGGCACTCCTCCTCCATATTGGCGTCTGCCCCTGCAAGTTGAAGAACCAATGCAAGTTGGAGGACAATAATATAGAGGTAAGGATTGGCGCATAAGTCTATAGTTATGAATATTAATACTCTCAAAGCCGACAAGAAGGGCAATCGCAAGCAGTGGGAAATGTGGTCTGGTCAAGTGATTTTAAGGTGTCTAGTGTCATGACTGCAGCTGTCCTTCCGACGCAAAGCCTGACCGCACGAAAACATATAAAGGTAAAGGTTCGACACCTACCGACCCTAACATTCCCACGCAAACAAACAAACGAAACCCGTCAAAAGGGACGGCTGTTACAATCGGTGGACCAAACATGGCGGGAGCACATGCAGGGCCGGGGCCCGCACCGACGCCGGTGCCCAAAGCGAGGTTTCCCAATGACTAAGAAAACAAACAAACGCGGTGGATCTGGATACTGCTCATATCACACGGCGAACAAACGAACCACCATGTAATGATTAGTTTAGCGCAGTGTTTTAGGGAACCGACGATGGCGGCCCATCTATATTGAAGACCTAGTCTCTCACCGCTTGCACCCTGGGCGTCCCCAGCCGACGGCTCCCCCGTGGAGGCGGCGTGGTCGTGATTGCCGTTGGCAGGGAGGCCATCTCCACCGCCGGCCACTGCGCGCTCTAGTCGACACTGATCTCGGCCGCGTGCTCGGCCGCCTTGAGTCGGGCCTGGAGCAAACGAATTTCGGCAAGCTGCGACAGAGCAGCGTCGCGCACAGCGTGCACATATTTTTCAAGCAAGTGAACCAGGCGGATACGTCGGCCCGAACATACGCAATATATATTTGCGAGGCCATGCTACTTTACTCTTCGATACGCTTTCGCAACAACAATTTCTCTATTTTGAATAGTTCAAGATCCTCTACACCCGTGCATGATAATGGGACAAGCGCCGACGATAAAAGTGGGACATTTGTCGCGTACTGTAGGTTAGAATAATGCGTGCATGATGATGGTACACATGGAGTGTGGAAGTATTGCGGAAGATGGTACATCTTTCGCGGAAGCGAGAACGGAGAATGACGTGTGGGGGCGAAGTTTGCATGTCCATCAACACGCACACCCAAAGTAGACGCAGCTCCACAACGAGCACGAAGGAGAGCTGCACAAAGATTGACCCGACCAAAAAAACGAGGGGAAACACTGCGGGGAACCCACCTCGTGATCCGGCACGCCCCTGCTCCCTGACCCACTCGCTGTCGAAGCCCGCGCCGTGGCCTCAGCGCCGGTGCTTCCCGCTGCAACGTTCTTCCGTTCCGTCTTCTCCTCTCGTGCCTCGTGGAATTCATTCGCTTGCCGGAAGCGACACAATCGACGAAAAAAAAATGATACGGAGTATTACATTAGTACATGTCGGCGCCTGGAAGGACGGGCAAAAAGGAACCTTGCGAAAAATACTGGGAGAGGACAGAACGGTGGAAAGGACGAGTAGGTTTGACGCGGAACCACAACGTGCAACACGCAACCCATCCAAGCACGGCCAGACAAGAAACACACGGCTGCTACAAAAAAACGTGTGAGTGTGAGGGGGTCGCACCTGAATAGCAGCGGAGGCGGCAGAGTTGGCGCGTGCTTCTTGATCGCTTTTCGCTCGCTCCTAGCCTTCTGTTGCTTCTCGAGTGCCGCCATAGACGCCCTCCACGCTGCCTTCGAGGCGTCCGACATCTGGCGTGCGGTGGCTGCTATCTCGGCTTTTTTCTTCTTGTCGTCCTTGATTCTCGCGGCTTTGACGGCGTGGTCTTGGTCTTTCTTGCTTTTCGGGGGCTTCTTCGCACGGCTCTCTCCCGCTGCCGCAGCCCCCCCCCTCCCTCCGCCGTCGCCGAAGGCATGGCAGCCGCTGCTTTCCCAGCAGCAGCCGCGGCCACGGCGGCGGCTACTTTTCCCCCGCCCGCCGCCATCACCGTCATCACCGCGGCAGCGACAGTAACTCCAACTGCCGCAGAGGACGCCCCCGCCGTCACCTCCGATGTGTCTGCTGCTGTAGACGGTGCTGTCTTCTCGCTCTTGTGGGCACCCGGCGCCGCACCCGCCACTACACGTACGGGCTTTCCTGCCCGAGGATCACCATATCGCAATTACCTTCGTCACGTCATGCGCCTGGAACCTGGAACTGAAGTTGCATATTTCTATGATGCAATGATGCGCTTGGGCAAGTATGTGCTCGTCCCATCGTTCCGTTTCTTGTTGAGAGCTGCAGAACTGCTCCAAAATCAAAGTCATTTTTACCGCCTGGCTGCCTGGCTGTTAAAGGTGACTTGCACGACAGTCGTTTCACTTTAATAAAAGTCCCCAAACTGACTGTTAGTAATGTGCACCCACCTCGCTTTCATAAGAGTCAGCTGACTGTTGTAACAGTGTGTGAACTGACACCTCACTTTCATAAGAGTCAGCTGACTCTTATGAAAGTGAGTGAACTGACTGTCATAACAGTGAAATAACGATGACCTGTTATATGAGTGAGCCGACTGTTATAACAGTCAAATATTCTCTTTTATAACAGTGAATCCATATATAAGATTGTGTGGGAGCCCGCACCAACACCATTGCCCTGCACTTGTCATCACCCCACGCTCTTCGTTTTTCGAGATCACGGAAGAAAATTCCGGGCTAAACCTATTTGGTTGCCTCTCACGCGAGAACGTCATCGACAAAACCTTTGACTGAAGGTTCGGTTCTCTTCGTCAGCTACTTTTGGGTGTGCTGTGCAGTCGATGCTTCAGGCGCGTTCTCGTCCCACACTACCTCGACCTTTGGGTTCTTTCCGAAGGTTTCCGCCGCGCTTCATCGTTTAAGTACGGTGGTTGGGTGTACGAGAGACCTTGCCTCGCTTAGTCAACAACAATCACAACACCTTTTCTTCATTTCACCAAAAGTTCGGTAGCACGAAGGAATTGTGTGCACAGGTGGCTTCTCGGCTACCAGCAGTAAAACTAGCGCTTTACAAAGTCTGCGTGTAGTCCTGTTGCCGTTCCTCAAACACACCAAAAACCAAACCTTTCGAGAGTAGTAAACGGGTCCGTCGGAAACCGAGTTAACACACGTGGTGTAGACTCGCTAGAGATGCAAGCATTGAAGATTTCCCCCCTGCATAGCATAGCGGTGTGTGAAGAGTGGATAGCACTTTCGCCGGTGCCCAATTCCGCCAGCTGTGCGCTACTGATCGGGTATCCGGCAGCGATCTTCCGGACCCTACACCACCGCCACCTGAACACCAATCATTCCGCTGATCGCAGCCCCAAGAGTACGTGATACGCGGCAAATTACCCTGAGCACAGCGTGCACTGGCCAACCGCCCAATCATGACAGTTTCGTATAGAAACGCGAGAGGAACGAACTTTCCACCCCACTCACCGTCTCGTGTGTTGCCGCCGTCCCACCACCCATTAGGCCGGGTGCGGAGGCCTTCCGCTGGCGCTTGGATGACGCTCTGATGGGGCTGACAATCGAACACCATACATAACCAGGCGGGCGACTGCAAGTCGCCGTGGAGGAGGTAGAGCGTCGAAATTATGTGAAAAAATCCAATCGAGTGCTGCCACCATTGGCTCGACTTGTTCGTCAACTCCTATCGAAAGGCACGAAAACAACTCGTAGAACACTCGTTGACCGACGTGGTCTCTTGCTGTTGCTCAGGCTTGCTTTCTCTGGGATACCAAGCCCACTTGAGCCCATCACGGTATCCGTCAATCTATTTGGCTCTGCACCGGGGATGGGCGCGCCCCCCTTCCCGGAAACGGCGGGTCACAAATCGGATGAGCACTCGCGTCTCTGTCCGCCTGCCGTGTCTGCATCTGTCTTGATGGCGACACCGGCGGCTTCGTGGCCTCCTTGTGGACACCCGATGCTGGTTTCGTCAGTTAAGCTGGATCCGTTCATATACATGAAAAGAACACATCACTGAGACTCGTCGAGGGAACGCCCAAGTTTGTATGGTACTGTAGACTACAGATGTACAGATGTTCTGCTTTTTGTTGCAGGCTTTAAGTGTGATCTCCCCGATCTGGTCTCCTAGGAATACCCGAAGCAGTTCTGACGTGAACGAGATGACCAGTCCGTGCTTACGGGTAATTGGTTCTCTTTGCTTCAAGGAATGTACGCTTCTTGATTCCCCAAAGTAGTACGAAAACTGCGCGCCTGGACGAGTATGACTGTAGGAAACCAAACTCGTCGACTCGCCTTCGAAATGTCTCAGGCCGTCCGTGGCGGAAGGTGCAGGCCAGCCCGCCCTGAGAGGGATGGCGTAGAGAGGGATGACGTACCACTACATACACACATACATACATGTGATGCACGTTTTATCGTTCATGGTGTACTATTATTGTAGAACCTCAGCGACTGGAGGTCTCACAATTGCCTTGCCCCTCTCTTTAGGCCGGCTTTTCAATGCATCAGCCGTGGTTCCAGCGGTGACGATGTCGCTAGCAACACTTGTGTCGACCTTCTGCTGGACGAAGGGCCGGTTTTCGTGTGGGAGACGGTCCAAAGCCAACCTTCGTACGACCGTAGCGAACACACTTGCTTCCGGAAGCCCACAAAGGCTCTGCACTGCAACCATGTGCTACAGCAGGGTGCAGGTCAAAAACCATGCCGGGCTCGATGTTTTCAGCGTTGTTTGGCTAGGGCGCGTCGAGTACCGTTCACGAGGGAGAATGTCACGGGGCGTGGTGTACCGCACCCACCCCGTACCGGGCAAGCAAACGAAAACACCAATTCAGTTATTTTCAGTAGTACCCTTGATAATCGGCGAAGAAAGCCCTGGGCTGCATCCCCGTGGTTGGTTGTGCCCCGTCAAGAGCCGGGCACACAATGTTTGAGGTGCTCAGCAGCAGAGTACTGATATACCGGAATTCCAGGGGGGCACGTAGATGAATGTGTGGATGGTGGTCATGCTGCGCGCGGCGCCCCTCTTGCCTCTCCCGTGTATGTATGGCACTCGTTTGTCATACATACAAGGTCTGGGGTCAACGTTCCCTCTCTCGGCCTCTGACGAAGCTATCGCACCCGAACACAGAACGTTCTCTCATACAAACATATTGTCATTGGGTGGCGTGGTAGAAATACGTCGTTTTCCGGTCGGTAAAAATATGAATGTGCTGTTTTTGTGTCGTACAAAATTTCGTCCCGGGAAGCGTGGATTGTTCGATACAAGCAAATATTCCGTACACACTCCGATTCGCTCATTTTTCTGGTACCCGATTGTTTTTTATATATTTTTTCTCTTCCGGCAGACATGGAAAATAACCCTAAACATAATCGTAATACTTCTCCGATCCCTCTGTTGGTAAGTCCCAGTTCGTGTTCCGATTCTTGCTCTGTTGTAGAAAGCAACATTATCACTGTTTCCAGCAATCAATGTGAGCTGTCGGCTTGTCACGACTCTCCCACGTGGAGTATTCACGACAAGAGAGATAGGCGCCCGAACACTGAAAGTAAGTGTGTTCGAGCAAGTGTGGGAATTGCATTTGAGACAATCAAAACGCGATCTCTCGATCGCGCACCCGCAAGAAAACACGAAGAGGGCAAGAAGCGCCTCGTCAAGGGCTACGCGGTGGGCTTGCGCTCCAGGCCCTGCTCTCGTTCCTGCTTCGCCTGGGATCGATTCCCCGTTTGTACTTTCTTGGTCTTGAAGTTGCTTCGACCCGCCGTTCGTCACCGGCAGTGGCCAATGCGCGTCGTTCAGGTCCGCTGCAGCCAGAGAAGCTGGTGAGGATGCAGGGGTGGCGGCGGGGCCGTACTCCTGTGCGTTGGATAAAGCGACTGCCGTCTGATTGGTAACCGTTTCGTTGTTTTTCACGTACGTGCACGGCGCGGGCAACAGCGACACACGCATTTCGACCGGAGAATTCTGGAACCACTGCGGGGTTCCGTTGAAAGATGCCCGATTCTTTCCCATTGTGTGGTACCATGTGGTCCACCGAAAGCCAGAGGAATATATGCCTACGACGCGGTGCAGAGGTTGCACACATACTTCGCAAACCGGTTACAGTAGTCGACATGCCGGGGAGGCCGTGGAAAGTGTGTGTTCTTCGAACCAACATTGTGCGGGGTGCCCTTGGCACCCTCAAGAACAGCAGGGCGGAGGGAAAGACAGGACAGGTGCGTGCATGTTTTGGCGGGAAATTGAAGAAATCTGTATCGTCTACTGGCGCCGAGCTCACCCGGAAGGAATATGTTCACTCACCTCCCGTGCCTGCGCGTATAACAGCTCCATCTCGTCGTTGCCGAATGCACGCCCAACGCCCATGGCGTTCTCTTGCTGCCAGCAAGAGCCCTCCCGAAGTGCGGATGAGGCGGCAGCGTGGTTCTCGAGGTCCTTGCGAAGGTCCGAGTCGAACGCAGAGGCGAGGGCGTTGACCGGAGCCCCAATCTGCACCTCACGTTCTGTGGAAAGTTAGGCAGGACGTGTCGGGGTTGAAAGTCACGAAATTGGAGGTCAAGGACAGCGCAAAACACGCTTCGGTCACACCCCTGTGTTTACATCGTGGCGCACGAATTCCATCCGCCACTTTCTATTACTTCGAGGACATGAAATTATGTGCAATAGTTGCCGCCCTATCCTGGCCGAACGTTCTCCTTCAGCTCAGATGATACAATACGCTGAGGTCCTCAAGCACACAATTCATCTCACAAGGTAGGTGTGACCACGACGACGGAAAAACGTTGTACCTGGTGGTGCGGCGGACCGTGGATCAATGCTCCACCCTCATCGTACCCGTGCAACAAGCTTGTTTGTCGTACCTCGGAGGCGTCGCAGACACCGAAGGACCGTCCACAGGATGGTGAACAGAAACCAGGTGCTCTGGTAGCAGTTCTCGCCGTTTTCCACGGTGATCATCATGGACCTGTTGCTCCACGCCATGACATCCTCAACGGCCAGCTTGTTGTGAGTGACCAAGTCAGTTGTTGAGGACATCTAGCCGTGGAGCAACGAGTCCGTGATGATCACCGTGGACAACTGCGGCAACTGCTACCAGAGCAGGTGGTTTCTGCTCACCATCGTGTAGGCGGTCCTCCAGTGTCCGCGGCGCCTCCAAGGTTTGATCAGCACGCCCCTTGCACGGGTACAACGATGGTGGGGCATTGGTCCACGTTCGACCGCACCACCACGTACAGCTCTTTCCGGTCGTTGTGGTCAAACCTGTCTTCGGAAGTGTGTTGGGGAAACGTCAAGGTGGAGCCCAGCGAGAAGACGCTTCGGTCACTACTTCTTTTAATTGCAACGTGGGGTATGTCTTCCATCCGCCACTTTCTATCGCTACGAAGACAACAAGATAATGTGCAATAGTTGCCGCCCTATCCTGGCAAGACGTTCTCCTTCAGCTCAGATGATACAATTTGCTGAGGTCCTCAAGCACACAGTTCATCTCCCAAGGTAGGTGTGAACGCGACGACGGAAAAACGTTGTACCTGGTAGTGCGGCGGAACGTGGATCAATGCTCCACCCTCGTCGTACCCGTGCAAGGGGCGTGCTGATCAAACATTGGAGGCGCCGCGGACACTGGAGGACTGCCCACAGGATGGTGGGCAGAAACCAGTTGCTCTGGTAGCAGTTCCCGTGGTCGGCCACCGTTATCAGCACGGATTCGTTGCTGCACGGCTTGATGTCCTCAACAACTGGCTTGTTCACGAACAACAATTTAGCCGTTGAAGACGTCATGGCGTGGAGCGACAAATCCGTGATGATCACCATGAACGACGGCGGCAACTGCTACCAGAGCAACTGGTTTCTGCTCACCATCGTGTGGGCAGTCCAGCGCCCGAGACCCCTCCAAGGTTTGGTCAGGAAGGTCCCGCAGGGGTATGACGAGGGTGGGGCATTGGTCTACGTTCCACCGCATCACCACGTACAGCTCTTTCCGGTCGTCGTGGTCAAAACTGCCTTCGGAAGTGTGTTGGGGCAGCGTCAAGGTGGAACTCAGCGAGAAAGACGCTTCGGTCACTACTTCTTTTTATTGCAACGTGGGGTACGTCTTCCATCCGCCACTCTCTATTACTTCGAGGACATGAAATTATGTGCAATAGTTGCGGCCCTATCCTGGCCGAACGTTCTCGTTCAGCTCAGGTGATACAATACGCTGAGGTCCTCATAACACCAAGTCATCTCCCAAGGTAGGTGTGACCACGACGACGGAAAAACGTTGTACCTGGTAGTGCGGCGGAACGTGGATCAATGCTCCACCCTCGTCGTACCCGTGCAAGGAGCGTGCTGATCAAATATTGGAGGCGCCGCGGACACTGGAGGACTGCCCACAGGATGGTGGGCAGAATCTTGGTGCTCTGGTAGCAGTTCCCGCGATCGTCCACCGTTATCAGCACGGATTCGTTGCTTCACGGCTTGATGTCCTCAACAACTGGCTTGTTCACGAACAACAATTTAGCCGTTGAAGACGTCATGGCGTGGAGCGACAAATCCGTGATGATCACCATGAACGACGGCGGCAACTGCTACCAGAGCAACTGGTTTCTGCTCACCATCGTGTGGGCAGTCCAGTGTCCGAGACCCCTCCAAGGTTTGGTCAGGAAGGTCCCGCAGGGGTATGACGAGGGTGGGGCATTGGTCCACGTTCCACCGCACCACCACGTACAGCTTTTTCCGGTCGTGGTGGTCACACCTACCTTAGGAACCTTTTTTGGAAGGGTCGAGGTCGAGACCAGCGGAAATACGCTTCGGTCGCTACTTTGTTTGCAACTTGAGGTGTGTCTACATCCGTCTTTCAATATAATACTGGATCATGAGACACACACAGGGAACGCCCAGCATCGACCATTTACGTTTCAGCCAAACCAGGAATAAAATACGTCAACATTACCACTACCCACCTTTATGTTGCTTGGGGTTGCAGAAGCCTGGGTGTCGTCCAAGTTGAACGTCGGCGCTCCCAGCTGCCCTGTTTCTGTCGTTGCCCTCCCACTGTGAAACAAAGGGGAAAGCACGGAATTGGTCGAGGCCATATTTGTCACGGGATGGTTACCTTGCGCGGAGCAAGCGAATGCTTACCTGGTATACCCGATTGACCTCAACAGTGCATGGATGGGGCGAACGACAGCAGTATTTCGCAGGAAACGCGTCGAGACGAGGGGCGGGGCGAACGATTGAGACGCAACTGTTTGTTCAGCTCGGCTCGGAGGTGTTCCTCACGAAGCGCTGCCGCCTCCAAACGATTCTCCAGTCCCTCCATGTTGGTGTCGGCAATTGCCGCCCTCTCTTCCTCGGCTCTATCAGGACAAATGAATGGTAGGAATGCATGTTTAAAGGTGACTGGGTTGTGAGTTGGACGGTGGGTGCTGGCAGTCAAGCCCAGGGACTGCAAAAAGGGCGGAGAATGGATTCGAATAGATTTGAGGAACGCTTGGAAACCTGATAGAAGGCAACGAGCGACGCAAGGGATTGATCTCGAAAACGCGTCCAAACGTTCAAGAGGATCACTCTATCGAAAACATCGTGGAGAACAGTTTTCTTGGGACGACAACGCCCACACAAGAGAGGAGCGTAGGCGGACATCACCTCGGTCGAATGAGGTTTGCCTACTGTACGCGTATCGCTTAGAATGGTCATCCAATGTTCGGGGCACGAGTGCCCCGAACATTGACTGTTTCGACTACATTTACGTGCTACGCGTGGACAACAGCACTTCGGCGTCACTCATTGCCCCTGTGCCATAACCGCAACAATAAAGAGCAAGTGGTGGCAAGGAGGGAGGCAGCGCAGCGGCAGGAAGCGCAGGAGCTGGCTGCCGTTCGCTTGAACGAGCAGCACCAGGAGAGGCTGGCTGCCGTCCAGGAACCGCCGGCCAACAGCCACAACGACAACGCCGTGTTGAGGGAGCGAGCTGCGGCCGCGGAGCAAGAGGTCGACCTGTGTGACGCACCGGCGCATTTGGCCGGCCTTGTGCTCCGCGGCCGCAGCCCGCTCGCTCAACAAGGAGTTTACGCCCTGGCTGGCAGCTAGCTGTTCCTGGACTGCAGCCAGCCTCTTCTGGTGTTGTTCCTTCAGGCGACCAGCAGTCAGCTCCTGCTCTTCCTGACACTGTACTGCCTTCCTCATCGCCACCGCTTGATCTATTGTTGCGGTGGAGACCGAAGAAGGGAGAGAAAGAGAGGTGATGGCACAGCAGCAAAGAATCTCGACGGAGTTTTGTTGTCTACGAGTGTCACTTACATAGAATTCCTCACCACGAGTTATCGGGGCACTGCTATAGCACGCACCCGCGCAATTCCTCGGAAGTACGCTCCGCGGCCGCAGCCTGCTCCGCCAATACGGCATTGTCGCTGTTGCTGGTGGCGAGCGGCTCGAGCCCTTGAGCCAGGATCTCCTGGTGCTGCTGACGCTCGGAAGCGAGTTCCTCCTGTTGCCTCCGCTGCATTGCTGCCACTTCGTTCCTGTGAGCACGAGTAAGGAACAACGAGGGAAAATAGGAGAGGCTGGACCACAGGAGCGAGAAGCTCTTAACGTTATGCCTTGCCGCTAATCAGGTGCATGACGACCTCTATGTCACATATTGGCGGATCACCTAAAGCTTGCCGTGGTTTCACCATTGCGTCAGTTCCAAATGATGGCCATCGGTGCTCCCTTTCTTACTTACCTCTGCAGTTATTTCGATACACCATTGCCTGTTCTTCGTCAAGATCAGCTCTACCAACATTGGAGACCTCGTGCGCCTCAACCTCTCACCAGTACGGATTTGTGGTGGTACGGAGCAGAGGCAGAATGGGACGGTTTTCTTGTGAAGACAACGTTTATCGAAGTGAAGACAACAACAACGACCGCAACAACAACGACAACAAAATGCTACGTGCACCACTGCCGCTGTCGCGATGCATTACCGCCATGGTGGGGTGACCAACTACCCAACAAACAGACCCTGCGATGCACCCACCTGTGCGCCTCCCGCTGAGTTTGCGTGGCCCTTTCGGACACGATGCGCTGTCGCTGCTCTTCTTCGAGTTGGCCCAAAACCTCTTGGTTGACACCCTCAAGCCTCTCAACCGCCTGCTTGAGAGAAAGAAAAGTTCGAGCAATGCCCAAGAGATGTCCCGACTTCAGAGCGTCTCGTGGAAGAAGAGTACTGTATTCTACTAATCGCACCTGTCGGAACTACTGTGTGTAGCTATCTTGGCAATTCATCTCTGGTCGTGACTATAAAAAGCGACATATGGGTAGTTATCCCACGGTGAAAGCGAAATCAACGGCATCTACAATACGCACCCGTGCAGACAGCAGAAACAAATACAATAACAACACAGCGAGCCACGTCATAAACACAGGCACCTACTGTGTTGGAACCCGACAACACTCAACCCTTCACCGCCCTTACCTGGGCATGATCCCTCAGTTGGTCACCTGAGTGGTGGCTGGCCAGCTCCAGTGCGGCCTGGTCACGTCATTGTTCAACCCCAGGTTAAGGACGGGATGGCCGGAAGCGTGAGGCGCTAGCGTTGGTCACTCCACAGTCACAATTGGATCTTGCGTGAAAGTTTGGAGTTCCAGCAGACACTTTAACCTATATCTGCATAAGCGCTTTCCAAGACCAGGCCAATGGCGATTTATTTCCGCAAGCCACCTCAGCTCTCTCTCAGAGCGTGGGAAAATCGTGAGATACACACACCTCTGCGAGCTCCCGCTGGCCCCGAAGTGCCGACACCTCCCCGTCAAGACGCTCGTTCAACGACCGCAGGGTCGAATTCTCTTTCTCCAGGGCGGCCACGCGCTCGTTAAAGCAGGACCTCGCACACACGGATGATAATCGAACGTGAGGAGAAGTAGAAGAAGACTGTCAACAGCGTCGATCATGAACATCGGAAATCGAACTTGCTGGAACAATGGATCAATGCCAGATTCCACACTCGTTGATAAACGTCACCGTCTGATCTTGACGCACCTCCTCTGCAGCCTCTTGCGCGGTGGCGGCGGCATCTTGTTCGTCTTCCTCGTCCTCATCAGCACCGTACTCGTCACAAACCTGGTCTTCAAGGAACCGGCCACCGCGCCTCCACCTTTTTTGAGCACCGGATATCAGCATCATATTGTCGAAGGACTGCCGTCATGATCATTGTATGCACTTTTTCACAGATTCTACGTGACGAAAAATTTATGTACATAAACCACGCTCTATCGAACAAGGCCAACATCAACTTCAAGAGATGTACATAGTCTGTTGACCTATTTTCCACAGCTGGTGTGCGTGTACATCGCGGCTGAGAATCACGGTGATGGCAATGAAACCGTGCCGCACCACAATGGAGGGTCAAAGACGCGGCATCAAAAGTAATTCGCGCCCCCCTTCTTGTCGATAGGCTACAGAATGACGTCAGTGGTTGAAGGAAAATCCAACGCTGTTGTCGTTCGGTAACAAAACTCAGTCTAGTCTACAGTATGTTTCAGTTACAAAACGTCTTGTTCAAGTACGACACCATGAAAATCTACTCAACACACGTATTCGTCAGGGTACCCAGTAGTACTGAATAAAATGGCAAACTAGAGAGAACTGCAGTCACTACAGTATGCATGTACCGCTTCACCAAGACCATGACGACCACGGCGACCACGGCGACCACGAACACCGCCGCTTCGTCGGCTCGGAGTATCTTCGAGGGAAGGAAAGACGGCGAGCAGTCCTCCTCGAGCATCAAGCAGACAACGCCCTGATGGCCTTGGGCTCTGGTGCGGCGGGCGTGATATTTTCAAGAGTGATGACGGGGAGAAAAGACGCGCCGTTAGTGTTTATTACAGTAATGCAATAAAGGCTCACATAGATATACTGCATTGAACTGCCCAAGCATCGAATTCCTCGAGACACAATTGCCATGAGGGGCGTTTGGAAGTCAATAATGTCATGCGGAGGTTTTCGGTACCGAATGGACATACTGTAGACTTTAGCGCGCTGTTCGGTCTAGCATACCAATGACGGCACTCACATCTCAACGGAGTTCGCAAAATGCTGACGGCGGCAGTCCTGAGCCATCCCAGGGAACGACCGAACACACCCATGTTGTCAACAATAGTAGCGGGTTGGCTGCAGTTGCTGATGCAGAGGTGTGGAATGATTTTGTGTGCGTGGGGATTATTTGGGCACTAGGAAAAGGCTTTTTTGTTCTTTAGTAGCAAAGTTTGTCGTCGGAGACCAATCAAGTGACGTTTCGTTTGAACCGAAAGAGTTTGTAACGCATCATAGCATTGGAAAACCAGGAATTGGCACACGTACGGTAGAGCAGATTTCGCGTGCCCCCATCATTCCATGTTGCCATTTTCTGATCGCAAGTAGAGCGGAGAGAGCACAGGCCAGAGGTGCGCCAAAGTCGTAGGTCGTTACGGATGTGAGCGCGAGAGAGGACTACGGACTACGTGACACGCCAAATTGAGGCGCTGGCAAGTACATACTGGTAGGTGGGTCAGAAACACATGGACTGCTACAGTGAGTTTCTTTTTCCCTCCCACCCTTCCCTTTTTTTTCGAAGGCGGGGGAACGAAAAATGGTACGAAGTCCGTACATCCTTTGGTTGGTGTCTAGCATAACCATTGGGGTGTATTGCCTACAGCATATTTCAATCTTCGAGTACCATGTGGGGACTTGGTCATTGCAGACCCCTGCGCGCAGCAGCGCGGGTCGGATTTCCCCCGGCGGGATACAGGTCCGTGGGTAAAAACAAATCTGTCGTTAGTACGGTAAGAGTAGCATCACCTTCCCCTCATGGAATCACAGGTCATGGCCTAAAGAAGCATTTTGTGTGTTCAACCGCACTGAGACTGCCATCTTTTCATTGGTCAGTCAGTTAGCGCGCTCGATCCTAAGATAGAAACACAGACGTTCTTCTTCCTTCGATTTCTCACCATCGAGCGTGCCCTCCGCACGAACGCTCACCATTCGACCAGCACCTACCTCTCTCGCTTGTGCCGCGCTTTCATCTTTGCGGCATGGCACTGTTGTGTGTACGCTTGATTCTTCCTCAGAGCGAGAGTCTAGGATCGCTTGTGAACACTGCGATTCTCGGGTCGATTTCTCTCACCCATCCGTGCTGTCCGGCGTTGTTATCTTGTCTTCCTACTGTCGACAAATACAACACCGCGAACAAGATGCGTACCCGAGAGTCTACTGCGCACCGGCTGGCATCGAGAAATCAATAGACTACGCCCAAACGCGCGCAGAGGGGTCTGCCGAAATCTGTGGCATTTCGCCCCGCAATCAGTTCGGTCGAAGCTATTGATGTGACATGTGTGTCGCCAGTCTTATTGGATGCCAAAGCGGCATTTAACACGGTTTGACGAAGCTGTAGAGCCAAGATACCTCAAATTTTATTTCCTCCAACTTTGTCGTCCGATTCGTCCTCCGAAGACCTCAGCGTAGAGCATGTGGCTCCTGCCCGGGCCATGGCCACCGAGGAAGAGGAACCTGAAGTCCTAGGACGACCGGTTGGGACTCGAACAAAACCCTTCGCGGGGCTTCTGTTGAACGCTTCGCGCAGTGAAGAGAGTTTTGCGACCGCTGGTCCCGCTGGGCGGCCTTCGTCCTTTGTACTATTCACACTGAGATCCGACACCGGAGCTACTACCAGGATGTCGGAACTCCCTACTCGGCCGGCAGCAAGACAACAACGAACGCCAACACCGACAAGAAGCAAAAATGATGCAAGAAACGTTGGACTCTTCCTCTGTCTTTGGACTCGACTCGTAACGAGACAAAAACAAACACAAGCAGAAGTGAAAAAAAGGCTCGAAGCTTTGTGCCCTTCCGTCCATCTATCTCTGCATCTTGCGCGGGCGACCTCCTCGATCCCCGTCGCTCTCAGTGTCATCAGCGTCGTCGTTGTCGTGGTCTTGTCTTTGCACGCCCTCGTCTACAGGCCGCTTCTTTCTCTTCCCGCTGAGGCCGCCGTTGCCGCCGTCTGCGAGAAGTTCGGCACTGGCACCACCACCGCCGCTACGACCGCTACCGCCGCCGCTACCGCTGCCACCGCCGCCGCCGGCCTCCTTCGCGAGCTCGTCGAGCTCTCTCAGGGCCTCGGCCCTAGCTGCGGCCCCCCCGTCATCATCGCTCTCGCTGCCACCACCACCATCAGCATCACTGTCGTCCTCGTCGTCGTCGCTGCTGCTGTCGCTGTCGCTGTCGCTATCGTCGTTGCTATCTGCGTCCCCCCCACGGGGGGCAAAATCCTCGTCGGACTGAATACGGGTCAAGTCAAGTGCGGATGGATCGGAAGAAGAGAGTAAGTGTACAATAACGGTTAGGGGCTACACACATGGTCTTTCGTGACCCATGTTTCGCCATAAAAGTACGAGTGAACGTACTGGTCGGCGGAATCGCACAGGTCGTAAATGCTGCACACGAGTGCCGCTGAAATAAGCGTACCTGGAGCATCAACTGTGGGTTAGTGTTAACCTACCCCTGCACCCAGCGAGGCTACGCTACCTGTGGTTACCAAGGGTATGAAGCTGGCAGCTTAGTGCTTATGACCTTGCACATGGCAAGCACAACAACAACAACAACAACAACAACAATTTCAACAACAAATTTCCACAACAAATTACAACAACAACGACGACAACAACAACAACAACAACAACAACAACAACAACAACAACAACAACAACAACAACAACAACAACAACAACAACAACAACAACAAACACACCACAACAACGCCACCTCCATCTCCACCAACAGCAACGGCAACCGTTCACCTCCGCATCGCCGTCGTCCTCCTCTTCTTCTTCGTCCTCCTGAGGTACCTTCGCGGCACCCTCCGCGGAGCCCCCCGCGTTCGTAGCGGTCGCCGGAGCGGGCAACATTGTTCCCGTTGCAACGGTGCAGGTGGCAGCCTTCTGTTGCTGCTGAGCGGATGCGGCGGCCTGTGCTTCCTGTTTAGCCTCGCGTTGCCGGGGTGCCACGAGAGCATCCTGGATGTAGCTCTGGCACGCCGTGGTGGTGAAATCGTGCGGGAAACAACGTATTGGGTGATATACGTGATACCTCCGGAGTTGACTCATGAAAATTAGGGTGGATCTAAGATGAAAACATAAAGCAGGAAGCAGGACAAGCCAACAGCTGGCCGCCAGGTGTTATGCCCTACGATGATTTCCACCCCACCCGAAACAACACACAAGGCGAAAGAGAATGTCCTGCGTCCACCCAAAGTCTACACGAGCAAAACGCATACCGTAGGAAGCTTACGATACCACACCTCTAGTTGAGGTAAATATATGGCCTTGACACATCATGACCGAGTTATAGTTTGAACTTGAATTTGCTCTGACATCGTCGATATGGCGAAGGGAACATGTGGCAACACTTCTAGGACCGGAGAGGGGATGGGAAAGAATCGCCCCCCGCTAATTTTCCGAACAAGGCCGGCGTGACCCCTCTCGATTAGCCGGCAGTTCCGAAGCCCCCCGCCATTGTCGGCGCCGTCGCCGCTTTCCTGCCGATAAATCGAGGTCTGGACTTGCGAATCAGTCAAGGGGGTGTGGGATCAGTCGTCGTCATGCAGCCTGTTCGGTACACATGCCTGCAGGCTGGGCAGGGCGTCCCTGTCGATGTTGGAGAACTCCTGCTGCTGCTTGGCGACGGGTTCCCCGTCGTCGTCCTCCGCCTCAAGCCCCACCACCAAGTCCACGTACCGCGTCGTCGCGGAGCCCCCGCGGCCGCACACCACCTGGGACGGTACAATGTGGTACGGAATGTATGATTTGGAGGGTTGGTGCGTGTGGTTGTGGTCCAACAAGATGTAGATCTTTCCAAATTGCATGCTACAGCAAGATGTAGATATTTCCAATAGTGCGCATATGCTTACGCCAGTAAAATAGCCGCACCCGTACAGAACCAAGTACAATTGAAGCTCTTATACTAAACCAATTTTAGTACAATAGGATGGATCCCCCATACAAAACCTAGCACAATGGATGACAACAAACAGCGTACCTCTTGGATGTCGGTCCTAGGCAAAAACAGCGCGGGTTTCATGAAGAGGAGGCCTTGTTTCAACGGGAACAGCGATCCCTCGTTCACTCCATGGTAGCACTTGACAAAACTGGCACATATACCAAGGGATATCCATGAACAGCAGTGGGGGGGGGTGTCCGGGGGTGAGATCGCTGGTTCATTTCATGCCCTTCGTGGTTCGACCATTTTTTCGCGCCTGTACTGACCGGGATAATCTCGCTTGAGACGGCGAATGCATAATGCATCCATCGAAGTGGTGCAGCTCTTGCCGTGAATATTGGAAAATGCAGAATCTCTTTCAACAGCAAAGCAAAAGCCCAAGGCCAGGGCAAGCTTGCGGTAACGACCTTGTGCGAATCGGATATCCTCCGCTTGTCCATTACAGCACGTCTTGGCGTACACCTACCCCTCCTGTGAAAAGCTCACTCCCAACCGTCTCGCCAGCTACAGCGGCGACTAGTTCATATCATGAAACCTTCACCCTCAGCCGCCTTATCCCCTAGAACCTCCTGGGCAAGAAGAGGACTGCTGTCGTAACCATTGTACCTCCGCTTCAAAACCTTCACTCCCAGGCAACTTGTCCACTAGGGTATCGTGCCCCGCTGTTGTAACCACGTTACCCCTGCTTAGAAAATTTCACTCCCAGTCGCCTTGTGAACTAGAGCCTTGTCTAACTAGAAGGTTACTGCGGTCGCAATCACCACACACCTCGTTTGCAAACTTCTCTCCCAGCAGACTTCTGAATCGGAGCCTTGCCTACAAGGAGGTTGCCAGGAGAGCAATACTGACACAACAATCCAATTCTGTTTCAAAACTTTCACTCTCACCAGCCTTCAAAAAAGAGCACTGATGACATCACCGCATTTCCCCTACTGTGAAAATTTCACTCCTGCCTACCTTGCGAACTAGAGCCTTGGGCCATACTGCTGTCGTAGAGACTTCACTCCCAGCCAACTCGCTGACTAGAGTTTTGCCAAAAGAAGGGTGCTGCTGTCGCAATCACACACACCTGCCTTGAAAACTTCCCTCTCAGCCGACTTCTGATTACGAGCCTTGTCTACAAAAACGTAGCAAGGAGGGTCGTCCACAAAATTGAGGACTGCTGTAGTAACCACTTTAATCCTGATTTGACAGTTCGCTCTCAGCCGCTTGTGAAAAAAAAGGGCACTGCTGTCATAACCATATTCCCCCTTGTGTCAATATTTCACTTCTGCCTGCCTTGTAAACTAGAGCCTCGTCTACGAGAAGAGTACTGCTGTCGCAATCGCCGTACCACTGCTTTGAAAAACTCCCAACGGACTTCAGAATTGGGGCCGTGCCTACTAAGAGGGTACATTGCCGCAACCACCTACCTCTGTTTCAAATATTCACTCCCACGAGCCTGTCAACTAGAAGCCATATCTACAAAAAAAGAGCATTGCTATGAAAATTCTCTAGCTACCTTCAAATTAGAAGAGAAATCTACCAGAAAAAAAAATCTCTTGTCTTCGCTTGTACCCCTGCTGTGAAAATTTCATTCGCATCCGCTTCGCAACCTAAGGTCTTGTCTACAAGAGCGCTACTGCCGTAACCACCCTACCCCTGGTTTGAAAGGTTCACTTTCAGCCGTTGTGCGAACTAGGGCGTCGTTTACTAGCAAGAGCATTGCTGTCATCACCACATTCCTCATGCTGTGAAAATGTCACCGACAGGCGCTAAAAAAAAAATGCCTTGTAAACAGCACTGATGTCGCAACGGACGTACCCCTTGCTCTGGAAACACCATTCCCACCCGCCTTTCCAACTATTTCGAAGCCGTTGAGCTTTTTCTACAAGAAGAGTACTGCTTTCGCATCCACCTCAACCTAATGGTAGTCCCTCTCCTACAGTAGTCGCTCCGGAAAACGAAAACAATCGCAAAATGTTTTGAAATTCGTTGACCGAGGTTACAGTCCCTCCAAAGAATTTGTTCTCTTTGACGAAGTGTGGCTTGGGTTATGTATGAAAAGTGCCGCATAAACACGTGAGTACAGTATTCAAACCGAAATCAAGTCAACACTATTTTTCCAGTTCTAGGTTATGTACAGTGTTACACCAAGCGACACGCGGCTTGGGAGATACGTTCGTGTACAGCAAGTCAGAGGCCGAGGAAAGGCGTCACACAGCGTACCACCTCACCCAAGCCAAGATAGACCTTAGGCTCTCACGTGCGTTTCACACGGCAGAGAGGACCACTATTAAAGACTGTTGAGTGCATTGTTCCCCAAGGTGTCCCCATCTGGGCGCCAACTATTAGGAGGGAAACGCCTATTTCGAAACTTCACTGCTAGGCGCCTCGTAAAGTAAGAGTCTTGTCTACTAGAAGAGCACCGCCATTGTAACCACTCTACCCTACTGTGAAACAATCATTCCCAGCCACCTTGTCAACTTGAGCCTTGTCTTCTACTGCTGTCGTAACCACCCTGCCCCGCTTTCAAAGCTTCACTCCCAGCTGCCTTGTGGGCTCCAGCCTAAGAGCACTGCTGTCGGAACTGCTTTAAAAGCTTCACTTCTGCCGGCAGTGCGAACTAAAGCCTTGTCTACAAGAAGAGGACTGCTGTCGTAATCACCGTACCCCTGCTTTGAAAGGTTCACTTCTAATTACCTTAGCGACTAGAGCCTTTTCTTTTAGGAAAGCACTGCTGTCGGAGCAACCTTACCTCTGCTTAGGAAGCTTTACTCCTATACACCATGTCAATGAGTCTTGTTTACCGAAATAGCACCGAAACTGCCTTTCACCTGCTCTAAACATTTCACTCCTATCCGCCTTGGGATTACAGGAAGGGGACTGCTGCCGTCACCACCGTCCCTCTGCTAAGAAATATTTACTCCCAGCCGCCTTGTGAACAAAAAACAGCCTTGTCTACTACTCAGTAGAAGAGGACTGCTGTCGTAACCATTTTTTCCAGGCCATGAACATTTCACCCCCATCTGCCTCACAACTACTATAGCCTTGTCGACCATTTAGAACAAGACTGTCGTGGCCACGTTGTCGGTGCTGCCAAAGTTTCACTTGCATCAGTAAGCCTCCCTCCAACCCGCATTGGCTACACGACGGGAACTCCCCCCCGCCCGCCCCCTCTCACTTTTAAACAACGTCCTTCGTTTGCGATGACGAGTACCGTACAAAACCATACACAATTTACCGCTCCCCCCCCTACACCCGGCGATAATTTCAGTACTGGTCAAGATGAGCCCAAACAAGAAAACAGATCAAGCAATACATGGGTCTCGTGTTGTGTGTGTTGGTTTCAGAGCGGGAGGCAGGGGGGAATTTGTTCACCTTGTTACTTCTCTCCTTTGTTCATTCTCTTTCTCCCGGAGAGTCGGCTTGTTCGGCGACACAAGACACCACACCCCCGCACAACAAACATAGGTCCACTCCAGGAAAAATTGTTTCTGTGAAGCTTAAGCTTATGTGGTGCAGGTGGGTGCTGCTGCTGATCCGAGAGCAGTATTCAACGCAGTGAGAGAACAGCAGTATCATACGCAACATGAAAATATAAGGCACCCAGAAGGACAAAACCCACAGCTGGCTGCCGGTTGCTGCGGTGTGCCGGTTCCCAAGCTCTCACAGCTGGCATGCTTTTGGGTCGAACAGCCCATGGAATCTCAGTGACCCAAAAGGACAATTTGCAAAATGTGTGTAGTATAACGTATTGCATATAGTGTACAATTTCAAACCATGAATCCCATATAGTAAGACATGGATACGAAAATGTGTCTCCACGCTAAATCCTATACAACGTGCCCCTCGCATGTCTCCGGGCGACTGTTGTACCCTTACCAGGAATTACGAAGAGCTGTCAGTCACAACAAACACAGCAACAAGCTAGCCCCTCACCTCTTTCCGTCTCTTGACGCGAACAGCCCGCGGTCGGGAGCAACTTGCCGCACTCCCGAGAGAAGCTTGAGGGCCGACATCACCAGCGTGCCCTGAGACCCAGACACCTGAGACACCCCGTGACCAGCGGTCATAGGATAAAAAAAAAAAAAAACGCCACCATCGTGTCGGTATTGCTCGTTGGCTTGGCTGCATCGATAAGAAACTGCTACTTCATTTGCTTCATTTGCTTATAGCATGGGTATAGGTGAGCAAAAATAACAACAACAAAAAACGCATAAATCCTGGTCTCCAATGGCTTGATTCGGCGGCAAACTGACTCGTCCCAACTGTATGCGACCGGGCTCGGATGACTTTTGACATTGCGCCCCCACGACAGAGAATTACCAAATATATATAGATATATACAAGGCTCCCCTTTCGGGAGATAGGTGGCTTGCCTCCCGGGGGCGACGCAAGAGGCCATGGCCAATGTCATCGCAGTCGCATCGTTGCTCGTTACATCTCAAAGTCATGACGTTCGGTAGTACCGGTTTCGCGTACAACCTGCAGAAGAAATTGCCTGAAATTTGCGTCATGTGCAACCAACCTGTGAGGGGTACTTTTTCTCGTCGTGATTTTTCGCATGTATGATGTGTGTGCGTGTTGGCTGGTGGCGTCTTTGCTGCAGGTTCTACTGCTTGCTGTAATCTGCTGGGTTTGATTACTCACTCTTACGTATTCATGTTGCCATGGTCTGTGGGACATGTGCGCGTTGCACAGGCATCATTTTTTTTTTCTGGGGACGCGAAGCAGTTTAATTTTGTATTTCTTGCGAAGGCTTTTTTCGCGCGGACACATCCCCGGGGAATAGAGCCAGTTTTTTCAACTTTGGGCGTCAATCACACGCGCCACGGCTCGATAGTGATCCTCGGGCGTGCGCGGTATTGTGCCGACGACCCCCACGCGTGCCCCTGAGAAGGAAGCGTGAGAAACGATTGACTTGCGCCAGCGAAAGATGTCTCGAAGCACAAAAACAGGCGAAATGATACATATACATGTATTACAAGCAAAGCACATCCATCCACCACCCAAAATTTCGGCTGCTAACTGACTGTTCCAATGGTTTGAACCTGGACCCCAATGGCTTGAATGCGGCTGCTGCATGACTGAATGGTCTAAATTGTCTGAACCATACACTGTTTTGATAATTAACTCACCGGTATAATTTAACGATTTGTCTGAGCCTGGCCTCTTGTCGCTTGTTTCCGGCTACTGTTCTAGATGACTGGTCTCACTTGTCTGAGCCTGGTCTTCAATGAATGTCTTCATGTCGGCTGCCAGTAACTGACCGGTCAATAGAAAAAAATGTCTGGGCCTTGATTCTTGTGGCACGATTTCTGCTACACGGATAGAAAATGTGCAGCGTAACCACCGTCAATCCTGCCACCGTCTCCAGGAAACGCGCCGCGATACCAAACATCCCAAAGCAGTCGGTCTCCAAAGTGGGCGCAAGCATGTCAAGACACACCTGGTGAGAAGTGCCATCCACGGATATGGAAACCTCCGAGTGCTTCGCCTTAGGGTCCGGCTGAAGAAGAACCAGTGACATCTGGAAAAAAAAAAAATGAAAACCGAAATACGAAAATATATTTACTTAACCCTAACCCTACCCATTTGAAGGTGAGGAATGAAAAACGTCTGGATGCCGAAAAAAACGGGGGAATGAAAAGCAAAGGAAGAACAAGGTTGTTGTTGTTGTTGTTGTCGTTGTCTTCACATTTTAAGCCCATCCCAACTTCGCCGATTCTAGACTTGCATCCACAAGGTTTGCTTGCTTAGAGAATCTCATGGGGGTGGTGTCACCTACCCGAGACATAGAGCAGATCCCACGGCGGTAAGGTGTGTTACAGGTGCTCTTCGGGGCTGGCATAAAAAATGAAGGAGAGCAGTTACGGGGTGACAGGCGGTCTTCCGGGTTGGCATCCAAAAACTAAGGAAACTATCCTATTTGAGGACAACGACTTCACCCCAAGCATGGTGCTCCGCAGAAATGACGAACGCTAGGGGGGCTCCTTTTCCCCCCGCGAGTGGATTCTTCACGAACATTGAATCAATGCCGGTCGCCCCGGTGGTCTAGTTGGTAGCCTCGTAACCTTCTATAGGTCAGGTCAGGGGTTCGAATCCCGGCGTAAGTGAGCTTTTCTTGCAAAGTGAGTTGTTCTCTCGCTTCCGCTCCTGGCCAAGTGGATAGCGCTAGTTCGTGTGTACACAGAGGGAAGAGAGTGCTGAACTCTTCTCGCATTAAAAATTGAAGGCGAAGTACCGCAGGAGGGGAGGGTAGAGAGAGGCTCTTCTGTGTGACCACGGGTTGGAATAAACGGCACTAGTGCTGAGAGCTGATATGAAGTGGAGAACAAACAAAAAAAAAAAAAAGCAAGATAACTCTTCCGGGTTGGCACACACACATACACATACACACAGACCTTACTTTCTAGGAAGGGCACCGGCTCCTTGAGGGCAAGCGATCATGAAACTGCTGTCAATCAGGGCATTGGGGCGAACACCTATTCCAAGCTGCTCATGGCACTCAAGCGAAAACTATCTTCCGGGTTGGCACATACGCATACACACCTTGCTCTTGCCGAAGGGCATCAGCTCCTTGAGGAGAAGAGCGACCTTTGCATAATCAATATGGGCATGTTGGTCGTTGGGCTCTATTCGGGGACTGAAGCCAAAACCATCTTCCGGGTTGGCACACACACACACACACCTTGCTCTTGCGGAAGGGCACCGGCTTCTTGAGGGGCAGAGCGATCAGGTCACTGCCTGCGGGGTCATCGGGGTCCAGAACCTTCCCCCAGTTGAAGCCCTCTGGTCGTGGTAACCTGATTGGCCGACCAGCCAAAAACATGCGCATCGCGGGAAAATCTTTTTGGTAGACCAGCTTCAGACATGGCAGAGAGGTTGCTTACACCATGTCATTGGATCGTTCCTGTAGACAAATCCCCGGCAGCGTTCTAAGCTATTTACATCTCGGTCGAGCATTTTTGTCTTACGTTATCAACCAACCGACACAGACACGCTGTTGATATGTAAGCTCATTGGAGACCTAGTCTCCGCACGAGAGTTTTCCCACAGTTGAAGCCCTCTTATAGTGTACTCTGATTGGCCAAACAGCCACAGACATGGCAATAGTATTCATTGGCCTGTCGGTACTATGGTTATCAACCAGCGGACAAAGCTACGAAGGCACCCGAGCAACGTGTCCTATTGTTGCGTATTGAAAATTCGTGTTAGAGCGAATCCCCCCACCAGAGCCTTCGTCCCGTTGCAGCCCTCTGGTCGCGGTAATCTGATTGGCCGAACAGCCGCAGACACATGCACAACGCTACTAAGCTGTTGATCGGCCGGTGTCGATTCGTGTGGTGGTCAAGAAACGGACAAACTTACGAAAAACACCGTGTTATTATTAATTGGCATCCTATCAAAGAGGGTTATTCGTTGTAATAGAGTTAACCGGTGTTGCCTTCACGTCTTGGCTCGTGCACCGGCCGTTCGGGTGCAAATGGAGTCCCTTCCAGGAGACGCTGAATCATCGCAACCCACACAAGATCGCACCCTCCGGTGATAAAAATTTGTTGCCGTATGATGAAACCACTAAATATCACCGGGGACTTCGATGACCCTTATGCTTGATCTGAGAGTACACAGTACCATCGAATCTCGCATGCATTATATGTTGGCACGTGTTCCAAAAACAACACCAATCGTGGCGAAGCTCCACCTACCTGATGATGTGCCGCACGTTGTCCCAAGCGACGACCGCGTCCCCCGCCTTTCCCGCGATGATGACGCCGCTTTCGCGGAAAACCAGATCGAAGCGGCCCCGTGGTTGCAAGAGCTGGACATTCTCCAGGGTGAGGAGGGGGGGGGAAGAAGGGGCGCTGCCGTTGCTGTCGGAAGTAGTGGTGGTAGTACCGGTGACGTCGGATTTTGGGCTGCCGTCTGCGGGTCCCCCGTTGGCGGGCGTTGTCCCTGTCGCCGCCGCTGGAAATGAAATAGAAGAGTGAAGCAGGTTGGGAAATACGTGTTTTGGTGGTGGAGATCGTTCTTGTTTTGCGTGAGAGGCCTCCGGCAAAACAGTGAGAGCCAAGCAGTTAGATGAGCATATGAGAAGCAGATTAGGGACGTGTTTCGGTGGTGATGATTGTTGTTGTTTTGCGTAAGATGCCTCCGGCAAAAAAGCGCGAGCAAAGCTGTTGGATGTGCACCTGAGAGTCAGGTTCGGTTGCCTTGTATTGGGTGTCGATTGGTGTTTCGGTGATGCTTCTGGCAAAAAAGCGATAGCGAAGCTGTTAGATGTGCATCTGAGGAGCAGATTGGGTAAAGACGTGTTTAATGTTTGCATGAGATGGATGCCTCCGGCGAAAAACATGAGAGAGAAGCAGATTTGGTGCCGTGCTTTCGTAGAGACTATCTAGTGCTTGGGTGGCGGATTTGGGCTAAGAGTAGTGGGAGCTAGCTTTGTTGAACCAAGAGACAACCAAAACATGCATGTGCTATGCATGCTGCTGTTCAACAGCAGTTTCAAGAGAAGAAATTGTCACCAAAATTGCTCTACACTGCAATTTGCACTCTACATCTACCCATAGACGCAACGACTATTATTGCTGTATGCTCGCATTGAGCCCGTACGTATGCCGTTCGAGCGATGGACTTTTGGCTGGGATGCAGAAACAGCAAATCTTGCACAAGTGATGACCTTCGGCTGAATACATAAGAGGGGTAGTGGGAGCCCGTAGGACCAAGAGACAACCGAAAACACGCAACTGCTGTACAACAGCAGTTTCAAGAGAACAAGTCGTCACCAAAAGGGCTGCAGGGCCCTACACTGTTATGGCATTCTACGTCTACCCACAGGGAAGAAACGACTGTTATTGCTGCATGCTCGCATGCTACGCGGTCTTGTATGTACTCGCGAATGATGAGATGGCATGCAGAACAGCAATCGATGACTGCTGTGTGGTTACAAGGGTCATGCTGGATAGACCCCAGCGGAGTTGGGGTAGGTACGGAGCGCTTCTCAATGCCTCCGCGTGACAACGCGATGCATGTAAGGCAGCGCTGACTTGCAACATAGTGCACTGGTGGCCAAAGGCACTTTGTTGTGGGTAGGTTGGGGCACCGACGAAAGCCTTGGTTGGGGGAGGTTTGCAGGGAGGTTGCAGCCCAAAGTATGCAAGTTGTCCCCCATATTGTGGAGGTACAGTATTCCAACCAACATGGCGGGCTGCAAGCCTAAATCACACATTGTGTGATTTAGATAGATGAATACTGGTGGCCAGGGGGGCAGGTTCGACACCAACTACAACCTGAGGGGGTGAGGTTGGGAGGCCGAGTTCGACCTTGAGCCCATTTTTTCTTTAGGCTTGCAGCCCGCCATGTTGGTTGGAATACTGTACCTCCACAATATGTGGGATAACTTGCATACTTTGGGCTGCAACCTCCCTGCAAACCTCCCCCAACCAAGGCTTTAGTCGGTGCCCCAACCTACCCACAACAAAGTGCCTCTGGCCACCAGTGCACTATGTTACAAGTCATGGCTGCCTTCTTTTTTTTTTCGATTGTACTTTCGTTGTAGACGCACGGGAAATCCATGGCTATGCTTCACGTCAGCGCCGACTTACCTCGTAGCCACGTGGATACGGTATGCTACATCTGACATGGTGGGGCCTCAATAACGCCGCGGGGCTATTCTGAGGGACAAGCGCTAAAGTGCAGAGTGACATTGGGTGATTCAGTCTGAGCAGCAATTTCAACGGCGTTATAATTGTACAGGGTCACCGGCGTTATTCAACCGCGGCGCTGTTGAGGGCCCACTACAGAACAGCCCCGCACTGCTGTTGTGAAGAGCTTGGTATTTAGTTACAAGAACTTGAGCCTCAATTTGGGGAAAAAGAGAACTTGAACGTAAGAACAGGTGTGGAAGTCAAGAAGCCTACGCCGTAGGCATGCAGTACCCATGCTTGTACAGCAGTAGACAGAAAAACAAACGAGCCTCAGCGAAAATGCGGGCCCTCACCGCGTGTACAAGTTTAGCGGTCTCTACAGAGCAAGGCGCTCAACAATACCACGCCAAGCTGCTGCGGAATACAAGGTGCGTTGGTTTTGTGTAACTACAGTACCACACCAATCATGCCTTGCTTCTTCTCGAGGACAGTCGCGCAGCTCTTGAGGATCGACAGGGTGGTATGTTCCGTCATACGGACGAAACACGAAAATTTGAAATTCAAAGCACCCGCGGACACACAAATTCTTGTAGCCGCACCGGGCCTCGAAAGCGCTACATACAGCAGAGTACCAGCTCCACGCCCTTGTTGCTACAGTACAGCAGTCTCACATTGCTTCTTCTGGAGCTCTTGGGGATCGACAGGGTGGTATCTTCCGTCATACGGACAAAACACCAAAATTTGAAATTCAAAGCACTCGCAGACACACGCAAGGCCCAAACTGCATGTAGCCGCACCGGGCCTCAGCAGTGCTGTACAGCGGCAGTACCCTACCAGCTCCACGCCCTTGTTACCACAGCAGTACCAGCAGTCTCACCTTGCTTCTTCTCGAGGATAGTCACGCAGCTCTTGAGGATCGACAGGGCGGCCTCGGTGCTTGAACCAGCCGATGACAGCACGAGGTCGGAGAGCTTCTCCGCGTCGCCGCCCGCCACGGCCGAGTTCCACTCGTCCATCTTTGTTCCTTTTGGCCGGGCGTCTAGCTACACTGCTGTCGGCGTGTGTTGTGCAACGGTACTACACTGCTGTACTGCTGGTGCACTCCGGGTGCACATTTGACAACATGGTTTGGCCGAGGGGGCACGCGAAGTGGATTAATATTCAAATCTCTCCGCCTCCCACCCCTCCCTATCGTCTCCGCCCGCTCGCGAGCTGCGCACACTTGCACAGCCAGCAGGGAGTACTTCACTGTTCAGCATCCCTTTTCTCTCTACGGCGAGCGCCTGGTTGTGCCTGCCGCTTCCCTCGTGCGGGGCTGTAGGTATTGAGGTTTTTGTCTTCCCGGTATGGAGTGATCGTGTTGATCGACACAGCAAGAACACCCCCTGCGACAATCTCACTCGCTGCGCTGCATCGCGGAAGCGAGCGTGTGTTGACTTCTTACCAACTGACGATCGGGTGTGCTGGGCTGGGAAAGGTGTTCGATAGGGGAGGCGCTCGCTGTCGGTGCAGTCAAGGGGGTCGCGCAGCCGGGGAAGGAGAACTGGCCTGAGGGATGGCTCGCTCCGATGAGGTGCGTGAGAGTTGGCTCCTGCTGCCTGTGTGTATTGGAGCGGCAGCGTTGGTTGACTCTGCAGACGTTTGCGTGCAGCAGCATCATGACATTTTGAAAATTCGCTCGTGTGTGTCTCAAAGTGGGAGGTGCCAGTTACCCGTTGCGTGCTTGCTGCATGGCGGGTGAGCTGTCGTCGTCAGCCTGCATCCACAACAAAGGGGGCAATAGAGAAAAAGCACGAGGTAACACGTGCGTGCAGTATGTTGGTACATCAAGGACTCCTGTTGTTTCGCACAGCACAGCAGTGTGTGCAAAAAAATGCGCCGTCAACGTTGATGCCTGGATTTCTGTATTTTTCAAATTTTGAAAATTAGCGAGGCAATGGGCGGTGCGACATTTCGCTGGTACGATACAACTTACAACAGGTTCTCAGCATGCCGCATCCCTGGACCGAATTGCAAAGGTCAGTTATCCTACGACGATATGGTGTACAGATCGGTCGGTTCGATGACGGTAAGCTGTCCATGAGACGGACTGCTGTTACAACGCCGACATTCTCGCGGCACCGCCTCTCTTCATCGGCAACGAGAGGGGGAGAGGGAGAGTCAGAGGGACAGAGAGAGAGAGAGAGAGAGAGAGTGAGAGAGAGAGAGAGAGAGAGAGAGAGAGAGAGAGAGAGAGAGAGAGAGAGAGAGGGCGACAGACACACAGACTCTTTCCCGACTACCTATTCCGGCAAAGTGCGAACTCGTGCTGTAGACGGGTAGGTCTATTTCCGCTGGCGCTGATTGACCGGTGAGACACAAGATAACACACCCCCTGGACCGATTTTCAAGCTCGATTTATCAACAGCAGAAAGAGTGGGGGCGTTGAAGCCGTCGGGTTCGCGAGCTCTCCGAAAACGAAACGTTTCGTTCATGCATCCTAGTCGTCGCGGAGTAATCGAGATTTTCTTGTGTCGTACTACTGTACTGCTGTATTCGGTAATAGCAGCGGGACATCCAGAGGTACAGTAAATAGTATACCCGATCGACGCCAAGGTTTAATTATGTCGGCGCCACGTTGAGACTCGAGTAGGTGCTTGCATGGCCTTGCTTGGGCCGTCCGCCCAGCCGTGGTTTTGTCTTCCTTCTCTCTGAATCGAACGCTTCAAGGAAGATCAACGCTGTCAGAATGTACGCAGCAGAGCCACATCGACACGACTATGGTAAACCGGAGCCTCCCCTCCCGCTGTCTGTGCCAAGAAGCAGTATTTGCCGTTGGACTCTCGCTTCTTGCGCATCGCACCAGGGAGTATCACTCATCTTCGACCGCTGTTGTAGGGTGCCTAGGAACACGCAACACAAAAATGTTCCGAAAGAGGCACCCTAAACCCTGCTACACAAGAATCGGTCCTGCTATCTCTACCAATTCCGCCAACAACAAACTAAGTAACAGCACACGTGATGTCAACAGCAGGTCAGCAATAGTCTATAGCAGCGTACGATGGCGTTGACCCTCTTGTTATTTCCAGAAAACAACATGGGGATGCTACCATCTCTGCCAACCCCGCCAGCAACAAACTCAACACCAGAAAATGTGATGCGGCAGTAGGCGGCCTGATATAGTGGCATCACATTCTCTTGTCACAATGTGGACGGGGAAGCCGATATATCGAACAGGGGCACTGCCTAAAAAAGTGGAATGTTCTCCTCTTGCCCCTTCATGCCACTTTATCGGGCCACCTACTGTATCTGTAACAGTCATAGTCTACAGCCGCTCTTGCTCTTTTCAGAAAACATACATCCAATCACATCACAGAATGACTCTACCCGTTCGCGGTATATCTTTTCTTGTGCGGGTGTATGTTTTTTGGTACGGCGATGCACGTGTTGACTGCCCAGTCGAACTACCACATCCGCCGACAACAAAACCAGCCACGCAAAAGTGAGTCTTAAAAGGAAAGGTCTACAGCAGGCCCTTCCGATGTCGAGCCTGTGCTCTTGTGCGTGTTGGCTGCCCAGGCACAACAAAATCAGCCACACACATGAGGCCTAAAAGTTGTTACTTGTCGAGTACCGGTTCATCGGAGGGACAGAGAAGAGTGCTGCCCCCCAACCGCTTTACCCAGTACATTGCACGCCAAGCCAACACCTACGTATATCCAGTAACACCAGAAAAACATTGCGGTCACTACCGTAGAGAGTAAAAGTCTACCGCAGGTCCTGACGATGTCGAGCCTTTCTCTCTTCTCGCAGGCGGCGCACCCGGCCAAGGCGACCCTTGGGCTATCCGGAGGAAAGCTGTGCTTCGTCAGGACCGCTAGCGCTTCGCCGAAGGCGTCCGGTCCGTCGCCACCAGGTGAGGAAGGGCAGATAGGACTTTCGCTGTGCAGCATAGAGAGTGACTTTGGCGGTATTGCCACTTGGGTGACGCGAGATACCAATAATTCTACATCCTATCTATGTACCGTTAAAGGGCGGAGAGATGGCACCCCCCCTAGACCGACTTTCAAAGCTCGATTACTCCACGACCAAGATTGTCTGTACCGTACCGTATACCGTACCGCGGTATTCCGTAAGAGTCGGAGCGATGGCACCGACTTTCAAAGCTCGATTGTTCCGTATCCAAGTGGGTGCAGAAAGAGCCCGATACGTCTAGGGAATGCCGTCGACGAGATGTTTCCAACACCACCATTATTGATGTTGAGACAAAAACAACAACAACAACTACACCAACCCCCACCGGTACCTAGACGCCAAAGTCAAACAATGCATGCGTCCATCGGAATTGGGGGGGAATAGTATGTACATTTCGCTTTGGAAGGCTGGTGTAGTCGGAAAGGAGAGTTGTGTGAATATTGTCACCTGAAGAACTAACTGCTGGCGCAGGTATCGTTTACAGCGGGTAAGGTTCAAATTCTCTGAGGTCCCTTAGCTAAGCACGCTGCATTTCGTTCTTTTCTGTGCTGGTGCAGCCACAGTCGCGCGCTGCTCCGGTCCCGCTGTTGGCCCTTGTTTAACCCCGCCCAATCCCCCTCTTTCTCTCTCTCTCTCTCTCTCTCTCTCTCTCTCTCTCTCTCTCTCTCTCTCTCTCTCTCTCTCTCTCTCTCTCTCTCTCTCTCTCTCTCTCTCTCTCTCTCTCTCTCTCTCTCTCTCTCTCTCTCTCTCTCTCTCTCTCTCTCTCTCTCTCTCTCTCTCTCTCA